GGAATAAGACACACAAAGGGGGGTTGTAAGAGATACACAAGGGAGGTGTAAGCCACACAATGGGGAATAATAGGGGATAAGATACACTAAAGGGGGTAAGACTTTAAAAAAGAGGGATAAGAAACAAAAGGTGGGTTAAGGGACACACAGGTGAAGATGCTTATGGGGGCGGGGCGCCAAAATCATCTTCGCCTGTGTACCCAAAAATCCTTGCACCGGCCCTGAATTCACATCACAATTCTAGGGTAACAAAACCTGCACAAAGTACAAAAAAAGTGTGTTGATATTTTTTGCTACCAGAGTTCTTTTTTTGTTTGAACAGATCCCTATCACCTCTTGTTGCTGTAAATCAGACTTGTTTTTGCCCATTGTACTGTAGAGTATTTTGGCATTTGATAACAGTGGTTCTTAACCTTTCTTGACAGTATCCCAAATCATATACATGGAATTATCATGGTGATCCTTGGTGATGCAACACACATCCATCCACTGAGAACCCTTTAAAACAGCATGGACCCAGTTTTAGATCCCTAAAAAAGTTTAGGAAACACATGCTCTCTCTGTAGATAATATTGGAGACTACTATCTCAGAATGGCAGTACCCATTAGAAACCACAAGCAGATATTTCCCAGTTTGTCATTGCAGAACGTTAAGGTTACAGGGCCAACACCAGCTCATCACCAGGAGAGATAGAAAAGGAGTTACACTTCAACACATTTGAACTTTTGTAATTATCAATTTGATACTCGTTTTAATTGTTATTTAGTTTGTCTTACACCAATATTGCAAAGAAAAAGTGTTCAGAGAATCCAGTTTTCAAGTGTTCCATTTCATAATGTCACATGAGTAATTATAATCCACTGTAATCTAACAGCTTGGAATACTAATCATCAAGAAGCAGTTAAATACTCTGAAATTTTAAATTATCTTGTTTGGCAGGTGAAAGTGTTTTGAGGCTATGCCTGCCACCTTTTCTTATCTGTAGTGCCTCCATGTTTATTTATTCTGCCTGTCAGCCATCTTTGCATCCTTATCAAAAGCCATGATTCTATTTATCCAGAACTGAGAACTCAATGATATTTCACAAACGGCTCGAATTTACTGGTAAACACCAGGTCACTAGGCTACCTCCAACTTCTAAGGACAAGAGAAAAAAAGTCAAGTTGTTTAGTCACAATAGACTGCATTTGTGTTGTTCTTTTACTTCTGTGCACCTTGTTATTAAATGAAAATACGAATAAATTTTTTTTCAATATCTTCCTCCTTTATTGTGATAGTCAACAGCAGCCGATGGAGTGTCAAATATGAGTCAACGGTTCTTAGAAATGCTTTAGAAGGTAAAAATAATTATTTACATTTGCATTCAAAGTGCATATTACACGGTCTCAAACCTAATCAAAGTGCAAGCTCATAAATATATGTTAACGTTACCCAACTCAGTGGTGCTCATATCATTGACCTTGAAGTATGAAATCTTGAATTCACCTTGTCAGGAGTATCACCTATGAAATTGAGATTTGGTCAAGTCCTACAATCGGTGCATTAACCAATTGAGCTACCTCACTGTGACTTTTTTTATTTTTGTAGCATCAACCCACATATTAATAAATAAATTATAACAACAATTTCCCTACAGAGAAGAAACGGATAGTTTCACCCCTTTGTTGCAGATGAAAAACATCTAAGAAGCTATAAAAGTTATGTGGTGTGTGACACATTCATGTTTTGTTTAAACTTCAAAGCCTTCATCTTCAAATACTTTAAGTCAAAGTGACAGCCCATGGTATGTGACCCTTGGTGTTTCCTTTCACAGTTAATTACTGTAGATCACAATAGTTTCAGACACCAGTCTTGCCCAGATATGGACACTAATACATCTGAAGGAAATAGTTATTGTGCCTTGCAGAAAAAAAAAAAAAAAGAAGTGATAATATAAAGTATCTAAATAAAAAAAAAATATTAAATCATAGTTTGTCAAATACAAAATAGGCTAAAATAAATTCTTCAAACTTCTAATATGATGAAAAAAAGTTCCTTGATAGTATTCTTCAAGTAAAGTTCTTGAAGTCCTCCATGTTACAGTAAATTCTGAGGTGATATAGCACTGAATTCTTTCTATCACATGTATTTTTGTGGTTGGAAACATATTAGTAAGAAGCGTGAATCGTATTAATGCAAAGTTGGTTGGGTGTGCCATAACCAAGTATGGGTAGGCCTGTAATAAAAAGGGGGGCAAACCAAGAGTAATGGGTTCAATAAATAAAGTATAAGGGGTGTGGTGGGTGGGATGACCTGAACGATAGCCCGGGTAAGAGGGTAATTGGGATTTTAATCGGTTAACGATAAAACATATGAAACCATCATAAGAAACAGTGTAACATGACACAAACACAGAGAAATGTTCCCACACACAGACACACACATACTGAATGTACTCAAAACCTTTCTGTCCTCAGCTAGGGAGACACTGCCAGGAGCTGCCTTCCTAATTTAGAGAAAGGAAAAAATGGTCATTGTACCCAAACACTGGTAGTAAGGTAGAAACAGAAATATAACTTGAGAAAAGAGAGTTACATAGTTACATAGACTTGTGTTCATCAAGTTCAGCCTTTTCACATCTATTAAAGGGACACTATAGTCACCAGAACAACTACAGCTTGTTGTATTTGTTTTGGTGAGTAGAATTATTCCCTTGAGGCTTTTTGCAGTAAACACTGTCTTTTCAGAGAAAATGCAGTGTTTACATTACAGCCTATGGATAACTCCACTGGCCACTCCAAAGATGGATACTAGAGGTGGTTCCTGGGGCAGTGCTGCACACTGAGCAGTACTGTCATTCAGTGTCTCCTCCCTCTGCATGCAAACACAGAACTTTCCTCATAGAGGTGCATTGATTCAATGCATCTCTATGAGGAGATGCTAATTGGCCAGGGCTGTGTTTGACTTGTGCTGGCTCTGCCCCTGATCTGCCTCCTTGACAGTCTCAGCCAATCCTATGTGAAAGCATTGTGATTGGCTCACAGAATCACTTCTAATGATGTCAGGCAAGCAGGCAGATTAAAGGCATAGCCAGCAGCAGCAGGCTTGAATACAAGTACGATTTTACTATATTAGGGAGGCAAGGGGGGCCAGAGGGGGCTAGATGGTGTTTTTAACACTATAGGGTCAGAAAAACATGTTTGTGTTCCTGACCCTACAGTGTTCCTTTAATGCTGATGATCCTAAAGAAAGCAAGAAAATTAAAATCTTGAAGAGGTTTTACATTTTTTCAAAAACTAGGATAAAAATCGTTCTCAACCCCAGAATGGCAGTCAGTTCTCTACTCTGGTCAAGAAACTGTTACCCCACATATTAAATATTATATGACTGAATATTTTGTTTTTGCAAGAAGTCACCCTGTTGCTGTTTAAAAAAAACTGTACAGGGGGGTGGAGCTAAGCCCAGAGAGTGGAGAGACACATATGTGAGAGGCTCCTTGCACTACAGCACTATATCGTTACTTACCGCACATTTTTGCGAACTCAAACTACCCTGACGACGGCTCTGGTCACAATGGGTCATAAATAAAAAAAAACGAGCCCCGACAAGCCTAGACCGGGCATGAACATAGTATATGGATATGCTTCGCCAAGTACATGGTGCGTTTGGGCCCAAGATGGCCAATGACCTGGGTGAGGGTGAGGTTTGAGAGGACCGACTAGAGAGGAGTCTGGTGGCAGAATTCATTACAGACTGTAGTGGGGCAATACAGCTTTTGGGAAGACCAATTAGGAGAGGGTTACAATAATCCATGCGGGAAATTGGTAGCATCTTGTGTAAGAAAGGGGCAGATGCGGGCTATGTTTTTAAGATGGAATCTACAGGATTTGGCAACATACTGGATGAGAGGCTCAAAGGTGAGGCCAGAATCAAGTATGATGAGAAGACAGCATGCTTGCAAGGATGGACTTATGTGGATACCACTAATTTGAAGGGAGAGCTAAAGAGGAGGATCAGTATTAGGAGGAGGAAAGACAAGGAGCTCAGTTTTAGAGAGATTGAGTTTCAGAAAGCGGGAGGACATCCAGTCAGAGATGGAAGAAAGGCAAGCAGTGACACGTTGCAGGACGGCAAGGGAGAGGTCCAGGGAGGAGAGGTATATCTGGGTGTCATCAGCGTACAGGTGCTAGTGGAATCCAAAACAGATAATAAGTTTGCCAAGAGAGGCAGAATAAAGAGAAAATAGAAGGGGACCAAGGACAGAGCCTTGGGGGACTCCAACCGAGACAGAACGAGGGGAGGAGATATCATTAGAAAAGGAGACGCTGAATGAGCTTTGCGAGAGATAAGAGGAAAACCACGAGAGGACAGAGTTACAGGGACCGAGTGATTGAAGAGTTTGAAGAAGGAGAGCAGGATCAATGGTGTCAAAGGCAGCAGAGAGGTTTAAGAAGAATTAGTATGGAGTAGTGGCCTTTGGATTTAGCTACGATTAGGTCATTAGTAACTTTAATAAGAGCAGTCTCAGCAGAGTGGAGAGGGTGAGAGCCAGATTGAAGAGGGCCAAGAAGAGAGTTGGAATTGAGGAAGTGAGACAAATGGGTAAAACAAGTCTTTCCAGAAGCTATGGGAGAAAGGGAGCAGGGATATGGGATGATAGTTAGAGGGGCAGGACGGGTCAAGAGATGTTTTTTTCAGGATAGGTACTACAGTGGATTGTTTAAGGTCAGCAGAGACAATGCCAGAAGAGATAGAGCAGTTGAAGATGTGTGTTAAGGAAGGCACAAGACAAGGGGAGAGATATCTGATAAGTTGAGATGGGACAGGATAGAGCAAGCAAGTGGTGGGGCAAGAGGAAAGTAGAAGCGCAGCCACCTCTTGTTCAGTAGCAGGGGAGAAAGTCTGAAGGGTAGGAAAGGCATGATCTACATGTGGTTGAGAAAGAGAAAGGCAGGGTTGGGAGAATTCTTTCCTTAGCTGTTCAATCTTGTCAGTAAAGTAACATGCAAAGATATCGGCTGTAAGGTTAGTTTGGGGGGTGGCCACAGCAGGGCGAAGAAGAGAATTAAAGGTGTCAAAGAGCGCCTGGGATTGCGGGAGCATGAACTAATGAGAGAAGAAAAGTATGACTGTTTGGCGAGGGCAAGGGCTGCACTGTATGAACACAATATGAATCTATAATGGAGAAAGTCTGACTGGGTGCGAGACTTCCTCCAGGAGAGTTCAGCACAACGGGAGTATCTTGGCAGGTAGCGTGTTGATTTAGTATGCCTCGGTTGGGGGCGTGCCCTCCTCAAGGTGCATGTTTGAAACGGGGCTGCAGTGTTCAAGGCCGAGGTGAGCGTAGTGTTATATGTGGCGATGGCCATTGAGGGACAGGAAAGGAAAGGGATGGATAGCAGTTGTGAATCAATATCAGCTGACAGCTGCTGGAGGTCAATAGAATTAAGTTTCCTCCTGAGTTGAGGGGGGTTAGGCTGAGGTTGTTGGGTGAGGGGGTACTTGAGAGCAAATGATAAGAGGTTGCAGATATTAGATACTGTACATGCATAAGAGAAGATGAGGTTGAGGGTATTGCCAGCTACATGGGTGGGAGAATTAGCCCACTGCGATATAGAGCCTGGATCCTTGTATAAGACTATTAAATACATTGCTGGTAAAAATATTAGCTAAGTGCTAACTCTAAAATATGTAATTCATCACTATTGCTCTTATACACAAAGGTAAAAAAGGTAAATCATATTTATTACAATTCCTAATACATACTGTACCCAGCAAGAAATCTAATAAGGAAGCTTTGACTAATAGTTCCTCCAAAGGGACTAGCCATTGTTTATACTGTGCTATGATATATGTCATGTTGATATGGCAACCAGACTACAGTTTCTACAACATTGGGAACATAACTTATTCTAAGGAAAAGGCTAAAAGAGAAGTTGGTCAAGTTTGAATCTCTATACCAAAACTGTCGGAAAAAAAGTATGATTTAAATGGTTTGAGCGATTTATTTTTCCATTTGGCAGCACTGTTTCATATTGTGGGATATGAATGTTGCCATGCAGCATTGCCACTTTTTTTTGTTGATGGCCTTACATAGCAGAGATGTATAATTTACAGCCCGCTGCCCATTACTTGACCTTGCATTTCTCAGGTTTTCACAGACGACTTATGAAAGGTATGAATCTCTACGGCTGTCAAAATACACGGTATATTTTCGCAGGAAAAAAAAAAGATACATTGCTATAGACCTTTCCCTGGTGCACCTTTAAAATTTGTCAGCTTCTAAGACAGCAGGGGTCATGAATGTACAGATTTCAATATCAGACAAGAAGTTAAAAAGCCATAGTATTTCTAGCTATCAATCATATGAGAATGACTGGACTCCAGAAGACATAGGACAGTGAGTACTTTGCTAGTAACCCTTTGAACACCACATACCCTAACTGCACATATAGCTTGCCAAATATCTCCCGTGGTGGGAAAGAATAAAGAAATATATATTCATACAGAAAGTACCCACCTAAATAAATACATACACAAATAATGCATAGGATCAAGGAGCTTGATAGGCCTTAATCTTCTTTCTGTATTTGAGTACACAGAGTATCACATAAATATATACACATTACTTTATGGTGTTACCCTATGTGTATCACTTTTTATCTTGTCTACATAGTTATTATTATTATTAATATTATTATAAAGGAAAACAGGTCGGTGCCACAGACTATCATTTTATAGATATTCCACATCTTAGCTTAGATTTTGTGTAGAGTTGACAAAGTGGGGGTTGGTTGCGGGTTGATTGTGGGCTGGTTGGCTAACTGTAATTTTGTGTGGGGTGGCCTGAGTGTGATTGGTTGCGGAGCTGCAGACCGGAAGAAGTGGCCACTGGATCACTGGTGTGAAGAGAAGGGTTTCACCACCTCAGCTCTGTTAAGCTCAAAGGGCTCACTTTAATAGTTAATAATTGTGTCAGTTAATAATTTCACATTTTAATAGTTACCACTGGCTCACTAAGCTCACTTCACATCTCACTGTGTTTCTCACTTTAGCTCACTCACTCACAGTTTCACTCTCACTGTGCCTCTTAGTCTCACTACCTCAGCCCACTTCCCACCAGCCTCACAGCTTCACTGTTCTCAATTAATTCTCAGCTCACCAGCCTCACTCACTCCCCACCAGCCTCCCCACTGGGGCCTCACTCACACATCTCAGCCTCCCACCCCCCACCCAGCCTGTATGTGTGCCTGGAGAGTGTGTCTGACAGAGAGTATCCTTGGTGTGTGAATGTATGTCTCTGTGAGCATGTTTCATGCTTTTGTCTGGAAACTCTATGTATGGGGTAGCCGCCTGAAACCAGGTTGTGTGTGGGGGGGTGATGGTGAGAAGGAGAGGCAGGTGATGGTGAGAGGCGGGTGATGGTGAGAGGCGGGTGATGGTGAGAGGGACGTGATGGTGACAGGGAGGTGATGGTAATGTGAGAGTGAGGGGGTAACGTGAGAAGGAGGAGGGTGGTAATGTGAGAAGGAGGAGGGGAGGTAATGTGAGAAGGAGGAGGGGGGTAATGGTGAGAAGGAGGAGGGGGGTAATGTGACAAGGAGGAGGGGGGTAATGTGAGAAGGAGGAGAGGGTAATGTGAGAAGGAGGAGGGGGTAATGTGAGAAGGATGAGGGGGCAATGTGAGGAGGGGTGATGTGAGATGGAGGAGGTGATGGTGAGGGGGGATTGATGCTGAGGGTGGTGGGCGTGGTGAGGGGGTGATGCTGAGGGTGGTGGGGGTAGTGAGGCTGAGGGTGGTGTGGGGGTGGTGAGGCTGGGGGGG